CTCTCCAAAAGTTCCCTGTCTCTCTTGAACTGGGGAGCCCAGAACTGGACACAATACTCCAGATGAGGCCTCACCAGCGCAGAGTGGAGGGGGAGGATAACCTCTCTCGGCCTGATGGTCACACTCTTCTTAATGCACCCCAGGGTACCATTGGCCCTCTTGGCCACCAGGGCACATTGCTGCCCCATGGATAACTTACTGTCTACCAGGACTCCAAGGTCCTTCTCCATGGAGCTGCTTCCAACAGGTCAACCCCTAACCTGTATTGGTGCATGGAGTTGTTCCTCCCCAGGTGCAGAACTCTACACTTGTCCTTGTTAAATTTCATGAGGTTCCCCTGCGCCCAACTCTCCAGTCTGTCCAGATCTCATAGAATGGCAGCACAGCCTCCTGGTGTATCAACCACTCCTCCGTTTTGTATCATCAGCAAACTTGCTGAGGCTACATTCCAACCCTTCATCTAGGTCATTAATGAAGATGTTGAGCAAAACTGGAGCTAGTACTGATCCCTGGAGAACACTGCTAGCTACAGGCCTCCAACTGGACTTTGCGCCACTGAGCACAACTCTTTGAGCTCTGTTGCTTAGCCAGTTCTCGATCCATCTCACAGTCCACTCATCCAACCCATACTTCCTGAGCTTCACTATGAGGATGTTATGGGAGACAAAGTCAAAAGCCTTACTGAAGTCAAGGTAAACCATATCCACTGCTCTCCCTTCATCTACCCAGCTAGTCACTCCATCATAGAAGGCTATCAGGTTGGTCAAGCATGATCTCCCCTTTGTGAATCTATGCTGACTACTCCCGATAACTTTCTTTTCATCCATGTGCCTAGAGTTGGCCTCCAGAAGGAGCCATTCCATCACCTTCTCAGGGATGGAGGTGAGGCTGACTGGTCTATAATTTCCCAGGTCTTCCTTCTTGCCCTTTTTGAAGACTGGGGTGACATTGGCTTTCCTCCAGTCCTCAGGCACCTCTCCCATTCTCCATGATTTTTCAAAAATGATGAAGCACATTATCCCAAGTGTCTCTCCAGAATTCAGTTCCTCCTCATTTTAAAACAAGTGAGAGAGATGTAGTGGGAGCCTAAAAAGGGAATTCTCAGCCCAGTTTCTACTTTTATCTTCATGAGAAGTGCTATGCATCTGTTGTTATCACTCCAGTATCAAGAAAAAGACGAGAAAAGTGAACAGTCTTTGTCCCCAGTGAGAGAGAGTTTTTCAAATTAAATTGAGGAAAAGGACACCTGTTGTTTCATGTGCATTTTTATTTTATATTAAATGAGATAATCTTGTTTGAGCTTGAACTTTCATATCTGAAAGAAAGTAAGCTTGTGAAGGGAGTATATGTGCAAAGCATACAATGTTTTCTGCAAGCAATATTGATGCAGCTGTTACTTGCCATCCAGTTACAGAAAGTAGCACATGGTTAGCTTTATTTGCTGCAGAATCAATCGCTGCCTGACTTTTATTACAGGTAAGAGATTAAAACCAGTTACATGAAATGATGAGAGGAATTCCCGAGCGCAACAGCAATGACATCATGTGAGACCATTAAGCAAAGACGTAATTATTAATATATAGTACTTAGCAATTTTGTAGAAAAAGGTAGAGGGCAAACCTTTTGAACTTGTTATAGTCTCATAGCACAAAAAATCCTTTAAGCATCAAAGAGCTTGTATTCAGTGCTTTTCCGCACTCTTAATTTTTCTTCATCATTTTTAATAATAGAGTTTAGGACTTTACACTTCAATTACTGGCTTTACCAGTGGTATAAATATTCATGAGAATAGATGGAGATATCGAGGAGAAGATACACCTCAAAGCAAGTGCCGTGTTTCTATTCTCTCTACACTGATCTCCAAGAGTTTTATTTAAGACCTTTAAGGGCTAAGTCTGGAAATTAAATCTATTGGGTATAAAAAAAATCACGGAGTCAACGATACTAGTTTCATGGCATGTTATTATCTTCCCTATGCCTCTTCTGCCGGCTGATCTCTCCATTGCACAGCGGGCAGGAGGAAGGGCAGACAGTCTGGCACTGACAGCCACCCAGCCGTCTCCTCCGGTAAGGCCTGCCTGCCCCTCCGCTGCGGCAGGGATGCGGGCTAGTGGCCTTCTCTGCCAGATGGCCTCCTTGATCAACACCTCCTTGAACTCAGGAATTTGCTTTTGCTTGTATTTAGTTCTTACATATGCTGCTTTGGTTTCCTAACCAAAACCCCACGTAGCCTGACAGTTTTTTCCATTTATATTGTTTGGTCTAATCAAGTATCTTGAATGTTGCAACTGAATATGTGTATATTACACATATGTTCTTGCATGTGTGTGTGTAGATATGTAGCTCAATGAATTGGAGACTTGCAACGAGGGTGTTTAAGACTGATAAATGAGGCCAGTTTTAAACTTGAAACCCAGACTACTAAATTTATTAACAGCATGCTTTGTGCTAATCGTTAGTTCTTCCATGTTACTAACGGTTACCGCTTTGTATATAAAATTGCTGCCTGTAGCACTTGTACACTAAATCAGCTGTGACTGTACAGTGGTGTGAAGCTGTTGGCACCGATGGCCGAGGTCCTCTTTAGTCTCCAAGGTGAAGGCTATCAGGCTGGAGAGTGCTTCCACCAGAGGAAGTGTCTGTCTGTCTTCGTTTCTCCCTTGTCATTGTTGGTTTTCTATGTGTCTTGCCCCCCTCTGCCTAAAGCAGTGTTTCAGCTGCTCCTTAACTTGGTTTTGCTTTTGCCAGTCACCCCTCCCGTGCCTTGGACAGGATGCCCTGCCCGTTTTCCTTCCCCTGTGCTTATTTTGGTCTTTATCTTGTAACTCCTGTCACTTGGATGTCTCCAAAGCGCAACTGTGCAAGCCTGTCTTCGCTGCTTTGATGGTTGCGTTGCCCACTACATGAAATGCTTGTACGTAGTGTTGGGCTGTGTCATCACGGTATTACAAAATATTTGCATGCTGGTCATTCTGCTATTTAAGTGTGCTTATATTTGGGTTCCAGGCAAGCTAATATTAATTATATCCAAATTAATATACTTAAGAGTTTTCAAAGGGCTTTTCTACTTTGACTACACTAGCCACAAACCTTGGTCTGTATTATTATTATCTGTAATTGCAGTAAAGAAAGAAAATTATCTCAAGTGGCTAAAAGTTAAAGAAAAATCTAAATTCAAGGTGACACTCTTTGTACTTAAAGAGCCAGATCTGATGGACTTGCATACCCTTTTTTTGACTTCGGGACACATCATCCTTTGGTGAACACCGGGACACCTCAGTCTCTGCTTTCAATGTATTTGTCTCATCAAAGGTCTTTCTGTACAGTCGGTCTAGGCTGTCATTCTGAAGCTGTGGCTGTGCGGATACCCCGTCCGTGGGAGATGTCGGCATCGTCCTGTGCTGTGCTGTGGTGCTAACTGAAACGCCAGCTTGTAATACTGCATTACCTGCTTCAAACACGCAAGTTGTAGACCCTAAATAAAATACAGTCAAGCAGAGAGTCTGCCTATGGGAAGACACCAAGGGAAGAGTTCTCGGTTTTTTTGTCTATATTTAAATGTTCTGCTTGTGGACAACCTTGGATTACTTCTGAGCGTGAATTACTATCTTGTTATCAAAAATATTTTATTATTTCATTGTTTTCCTTATTATTTTGGAAAGATGTCCAGGAGGAGACCTGTCTTCCAACAAGGATATAAAAAATTATTTTCATTCAGTCTCTTAAAAGAAAGGCAAAGTCCCACTGTAAAGGTTGAAACATGAAAGGCTAGGCCGGGGAAATCTTATATGAGAATGCATTTTCTTACTGTTTCTGAAATGCAGAACACTCAATTTTTCTAAAAGGGGCTCAAATGCCATTTGTGGTTTTGAAGGGGAAATATTCCCCTGGAACTGGGTTCTTTCTGCAAGCTGGCTGCCTGAATGCTGCTGTAGTAAATGAGGGTTACCTGTTACATTCTCCCACTTCCTAAAATGTCCAGGCAGTGAAGGTGTAAAATGATTTCTTCTCTTGAATATTTTTTTCCCATGCAATGTTTATTCTCTGGATGAAGCATCCTGGACATGTAACATACTATACAGACAGTGCAAACTGGTGTATTTGTATCATATGTGGTAGAGTTAGACTTCTCCGATTTTAGATTCACCTAACGATTTAGTGTTACTTTAGCATCTTCCAGATTATTCCAAGTAGCCTAAACCTCATCATTGCAATACAGGGCTATTCTACTGGAAAAAAACAAACAAACAAACCAAAACAAATAAAATCTAACAGTTAAATGAACACATTTTTCCTGGATGTAACTGGATATTACAGTCTTACTGGTCATTTTTATTAAGTTATACAGAAGTTGTAAGCAGAACAATCGAATCTCTAAGCCACTAGAGGCCATATTTCAAGTTCACTTCTTTTGCAGTCATTGACTTGTCAACTAAAAAAATCTGACTTGGCTGACTAGTACAAAAAACCCAACGCATTGGGATACAGATGATTTTAATATACTTTTATAATGTATGCATCCTATACAAGACAGACTGAGAATGTTATATTACTTGCTGGTATTTAGACTATTGATTTCTTTTTCTAGCTATCTAATTATTTCTCAATATCCAAGATTTAGTATCATACATCATTTATTTGTCATGGTTTGGAAAGTGACCAAAAATGATGTTTTGATCCTATACCTACTTTCTTTGAAGGCACAGCTGCTCTGTTTAGCGGAAAACTCGTTTTGTACAAATATTTGCATGAAGGCAGCAGCATACTGTAGCCATGGAATAGTAAGCTATGTACATCGAGATAATCTTCACCTCCTTCAGAGACTGCAAGTGGTATCTTGATTTTTAGCTATATGGGTCATCTTTCAGTAGAAAATATCTCTTTGCACTGTAATTTACATGGAAATTTATATGGAAATCATAGAAAATAAATACAGGTGAATGTGATGATAGGTAAGTTCACTCTTCACATGTGTTTTTCAGAAGTGTCTCTCTTGCTGCTCAGTCTTCTATTTTCAGTTTAAATTCCACTTTTCCTTCATATGGATCATGAACATTATCAAAGGTAATTCCAGCTCCAATGATTTTGCACACTATTTTAAGTTCTACATTCCTCGTAATGTTGAGAAATTTCACGGCTACCAAAGGGTTGCTGTAGCTGGGCTAGGAGGGGGGAAAAAAAAAAAAAAGTAATTTTACACTACCAAAACAAAATCTTAAAATTAGCCTTCTCTCCAGATCTCGTAAAGATCTTCGTTTAATCTTACACGAAGGTAAAGAAAAGTAATATCAAAATCCGTGAGCGCCCACCTGTGCCTTTTTTCCATAGTAGGGGAAGTAGTGCAGGTTGAAGGTACCGTTCACGGGGTAGTAGTCCACCTCCAGCGGGCGAGACTCATCACCCTGGTTGTAAAGCAAGAAAGAAGCTTCGTTGGCTGGGCGATTTGAAGCCAGCCCTGGGCAAGTGTTTTACTGCTGCTAAAAGCTGCACAGTGTGTATTAAAACTCGAGCCCAGCAGTCTGCTTAGCGCCGGTCTTATTTTTATTTTTCCAATAAAAGCGGAAATCTCCTGCTGTTACTATTGCCAAGAAAAACAGGCAAGTGTTCTGTTATAGTGGTTGTGAATTCAGCGAATGGAGACCCGCAGAGAAATGTGCAGAGCGCCTGAAGGAGCTGCTCTGGTGCGTGAACTTCGCTAGTGGGAGCTGAAAGCAGACAGCAAATGTTCTTTTCTGCAGCATGGAAAAACAGTTTTTCAGGCAATTTAAAATAAACATTTGTTTTGTTTTGTTTTGTTTTGTTTTGTTTTGTTTTGTTTTGTTTTGTTTTGTTCTTAGGATGTCTGCTGGTGCAAGAAATGGCACAGAACAGAAAATATTCCCAGTAGAATGATCTGGTTTCCAGAGCTGCGGGGTAATTTTTCTGATAGCAACTGCACTTTGCTTGCTGTCAGAGCTGCAGTGCTTGGAATTTTTGAGACTCAGAACTCACACACTTACCACGTATGTGCAATCCACTCTTGGTGCAGTGCCGTTGCCAGGGAAAAATTTGATGATCTGAAATAGGAAACGCACGTTTCGTCACCTTGGAAAACGTTTGGCGATAAAAACGAGCGAACGATTAACTCAGCTTCAAAGGATGCGTGATGCGTTTCTGCGTAAGGCACCGTCACGCAGATCATCTCATCTTGTGTACCTGGGTGAAAAACCGTGTGGTGGCTGGATTTAGGAAGCAGGGCTCCGTGCTGCCCGGGGTGGGCGCTGCAGGTGGGCTCGAGCCTGGCCAGGGCAGGTAGCGCCGCACCTCCGGCAGGGCCATTCACCCACCTCTACCGCTTGCTCTGTCTGATGCCCGGGCAGCCGGGGGTCTCTTAGAACAGCTCATTGTGCGACGACAAAGGAAGAGCTGGATCTCCGTGTTTTTCATCTTTCTTAGAAAACCTTGGCTTTGGCAGAAAGCCTGAGGCCCATTTGATCCTACAAGAACCGGGGGGTCGCACCCTGGAGCAGCAACGGTGAAAGGAGGTAAAGCCCCCGGGCAATATCCGTGCTCCTTTCCCCTGCCCGAGCTGGTGGGCAGCCTTGCTGATAGAGGCAAAGGCTTTTGGGGGAAAAGCCTACATGTCACCAGCCAAAATCAGGGGCACAGCTCTCCTCTCACAGCTGGACCTTGCCCAAATTCTTAAATACTTTTACTGCCCGAGTCTAGGGTGCAAGCCCAACCAAAAGTGATTTTGTCTGTCAGGAACTGGCGGAGAGTATGAACTTTTCACTGTGTACTGAAATTGAACTAGAAGGCTCAGCATCTTACCTGAAATTAAAAATAAAATGCTTATGCCTTTGCCTATGTCCTGAAAAAATTAAAGGAAACATGGAAGAGTCCCTTCTTCCTCTCCAAAAAAAAAAAAAAAGAAAAAAAAAATTGTTGGTGTATTTTACAGAAGAAGCATCCACCGGGTTTGAATTTTGTTTTTACAGGTTCTGCTAAAGATTTTCTTTGCAGCCTGGAGAAATAAGGTGTTGTAAGTATCACCTCTCTGAAATCACTTCAGTTACTGTCACATCTTGACACCTTAGCTGAAGGCACAGGACTGCGGCATTGCAGAATGAAGCTGTTTTACAGAATCACAGAATCATTAAGGTTGGAAAGGACCTTTAAGATCATCAACTCCAACCATCAACCCAACACCACCGTGCCCACTAAACCATGTCCCGAAGTGCCACGTCCACATGTTTTTTGAACACTTCCAGAGATGGTGACTCCACCACCTCCCTGGGCAGCCGGTTCCGATGCTTGACCACTAATCTACTAGTTCGTCGGATGAGAGTGCTACGGAGGTGCTAACAAAACTAAATGAAAGCCAAAGCTTTAGAGAGTCAATTCAGAGATCACTGTGCCCTACGTTACTTTCCTAGGGGTGGTGACCAAGTCTTGCTATTTCTCTGGTAGTTCTGGATGTCTCTCGGCAAAAGCAAATCAATTTTTCATCCCAGTAAAAGGGGGAGATTAGAGCCCATGGCAGCAGATGATACAGCAGCTCCCCAGCAGAGATTCGAGCTATCGGGGGGTTCTCTGTGAACTCTTTC